ATATAATTATATCTTATAGACCATTATTAAATTAAAAAAATTATATAAACTGTATTATTTTATTTAACAATTTTACATTGCTTATATATATATATTAATAAATGTATCGATTATTAATCAATTTTTTAAAGGCCATACCTATCCTAAGGGTTTTAAAAAAATGACTGACTTTGAGATTCTTTAAATAATTGACGTTTAAAAATATATTTGTAAAATACAATTATACAGTATATTATAATTCAACGATAATTAGCAGTGTATATAATATTTTTTTTTAGTAATTATGTGAATGTCATTGACGAAGTTAATATAAACTTAATAAAAATTAGTTTATTAAATAATTTAACGTAAATTGTATTTTTCGTATATACAGACAGAATATACGTTATAATATTATATAAATAATATATATATTAATTATATCGTTATACATAAATTATTTTTATAAATATTTGCTTAATTGTAATGAATTTGTATGTATACACTGTAACTATTGATATGCGTTTGAAAAAAGTGATATTTTGTAACAATTTTTTTATTTGTTTGGTTAACGTTTGAAAGTTATTTTCAGACGACATTTGAAGGACGAGTAGTTTTTTTGTGTTTTAATTAATTGTAATAATGTTATGAATTGTTATTAATTTTGTTGTTGTGTTGTTGTTGAAACATATTCTGTATTTATATATATATTTAACATTAGAAACAATAAATGTTAGTTACATTGAAATATTGACTTTTTTTGCACAAATTCTTTAAAACTATTATAAATGAATAAAATGTTATATATATTAGATTAGAAAAAAATCAATTAACTTACAAATTCAAAATACATTTCAAATATATCTTTATTACAATCAAATATTTTAAATTGTTTTCTATAGTTATATTAAAAATTAAAGTAATAGCCTAGAAATCATAATTAATCTCACAAATTTCAATTTATCTTATAGTTTGTAGAGTTACTATTTTTATTTTACAATATTTGTAAAATATCTAAATCTGTACACATTTTTATGTTTGTTTGATGAGACTTGAAAAATATGTGTAATTTAACATTATAATTCAATTTTTGTATATTAAAATAAACATAGTTAAATATTTTATAAACTTTTAATATTACAAGGAATTTTTTTAACGTAATGTATTATATTTGTTAATAAAATTATTAATTTTACAACAAAAATATCCTAATTTAGTATTAAATAATAGAAATTGTTAAATTAAAAAATAATAATCTTTTAAACAAGTAAATTTAGTTTATAATACTATTTATAATTCAATATCAATTTATATATTTTTAAAAATAATTGAAATTTTATCGATAGTAAATCAACATTTGCTATAACATTACACTAATCGATAGCAAACTAATATACTGTATAAATAGCATAAATTTGTAATACAAAAAAACAAACTTTTAATTATAATTACAAACAAACATTGACTGCATTTTTAGATAATAAAAATAAAAAGTACTTTTTAAAATAAACATTAGTAGATTTCATTTATGGATATTATTTATCAATTAATTAACACATGATTAATCAGACAAACTATAGAGACATTTATAATGTATAAAAAATATTAAAATAATAGACCAATTTGACAAAAATACTATTATTATAATATTATCAATATCTATATATCAATTTTTATACGATTATAAACTTGTAGATCAAGTTTGAGGCTAAATATGTTGATCTCACTAACGATATAATTGTTAGGCACCCTATGCTATGATCTAATTTAATTTTTTATGTTATAATAATAATTTGTTAGTATTTATTTTTTTCCACTGAATATATTAATATCCACTACAGTCTACTACAGTTATAATCTAAAAAATAACTAATAATTGCACTAATATTATGATATGTTATGATATGACATGCAAACATTATAATTTAGTTTAAACGGTTTATTAGTATTAGTATTATTATTATTATAAACCGTATAATTTTACTTTCAAAAAAATTATCAATTGTATTAATTAGTCGCGCCTATTGTCTGTCATAGACATTGCATGTTTGTAAAAAATTACTATTAGATATAGATTTGAAAATTTTAAAAGTCTATTAATTTATACAAGTTTGATACCTATACAGTATACTGGTTACAAATATTGATTAATAATTTATGATAAAGATTTTTTTAGGTGAAATGAAACAAAAATATTTATATTTTCTCAGTAAATGTTTTTTTTGAGGGAAAATTTGTATTTCACTTTCAAAAATAATTTTTTTCATGTTTAATAAATAAAAAAATTATTTCCGTATTTTTTACCTAAATTCCTGTATTAATACCTAATGTCTTATAAAAATAATTAATTAAATGATATTGTCGTCAAATATGGAAAATCCGATTCTCATATCATTAAACATATTTCGAGTTTCAGTTTTTTTTAAATAATAATAATTACGACAATATATTTGGACTAAAACTTATACACTTTGTTATATAATATTTTTTGATTTAATAATTAAATTTTTCACTATTAATGTGTTTGTTTTGTTCAAATATGGTATATATTATGTTTAATATGTTTGTTAATCACCTTTTTTAATTGAATATTAATGTAAGTAAATATTTTTTATTTTGTAAATTCATTAAAAATAATTTTTTTTTAAAAAAAGTAAAAACTTTTGATGTTATTGTCTAATAACTGTTTTAATGAACATTTGTATTCATAGAAAATAAATTGTATTTAATAATAATACAATTGTCAATTGTATAAAACATCTAAAAAATAATATCTAAAATCTAATCATTAAACTGTATTTTATATTTTATTTATTATTATTGTTTAATGAGTAATATTTAGAAAATATGTTATATAAAAATATTAATAATCTAAAACTATAATATTAAAAAATATACAGCAAATTATTATATATTAACACTCAGTAATGTATTTGAATTAAATTTATAAAATGATTTTCATAATCAAATATAATTATTAATTTTTATTAATAATAAATTTTATTTAATAGCGCTATCTATTAACCAAAAGGGGTAGAACTATCTCAATCTCAATCAATTAGATAACTAGTTATAAATTATAACTTATAATAGTTGAAAGTATTTTTTATGAATAAATTAATTGTTAAGTAATTAATATAAAATTTAATAATTATTTATTGCTAATAGTAATCTGTTATATTTAATTTTATTGCTACTAAAAGTAAACTTGTATAAAATAATTTTTAAAAATTTTGTTGAATACATACTTATAAAAGATTCCAGTGTTTTTTACTATAATGTTTTTTAATAAATAAATTACAATACACAAACAGTATATTAAAAATTTTGAAGCCCCTATTGTAAATTGACTAGTTTTAACATAGATTAGTTTACATTAAATTGACCATGATCATCAGCTGAAAATTTTACTCTCAGTCATTTTTTGCAAACTGGGAGATTTTATAAGAATAGTGTTTTTTAAAATTTAATTTAATTTTTAATTTAATTTTTATTAGTGTAATATTTTTAATACAGTATTAACTTGCTTGTTAAATTTATTTTAAATAAGCGTTACATATGTTTTTTACAAAACTTACCATGACGATTTTTAAAACATATTAACTTAAACTTTATATTATTATGCTTAGAAAAATGGGATTTTTAGATGTTTGGTAATTAAATAAGTCATTATAAATAGATCACATGCAATACATTAATTAAAGTTTGTTTATAATGGATACTATACTAATAATAAATAATTTTGTTTTAGTTAATTAATTAATATAATAGTATTATAAGTATATAGTATAAATACTATTTAATAGTTGCCTTAAAATTATATTTATGTAAAATAAACTTTATGTAAATGATTTTTTTATTTTCTATTAAGCTAAATAAAACATTAGTAATAGTCACATAAATTATAAAAAATAAATAAAAATACAAATAAACATTATATTGCGTACAATATTGTAATCTTTACTGTATATGTCAAAATTAAGACAATTGCAATTGGAAATACACACACACACACACACACACACACACACACACACACACACACACACACACACACACACACACACACACACACACACACACACACACACACACATATATATATATATATACATATATATATATATACATACATACACAGTGTGATACACACACACACACACACATACACTGCAATTATTAAATGATGATATTATAATTTTCAATTAGTCCTAAATAGTTTATACATTTGCTGTCATTTATATATAATATTTACTAATTTTATTATTATTATTATTATAAATAATATAAACTCTAAAATTAGTCAATTTTTTATTGAGGGCTACAATTATGGCATTAATGTTAATTACTTTTATTGCCTTAAATAGTGGCTAAATAGTTATTTATTTATTTATTGTATTTAAAAAATACTAACATATGCATTCCCAATATAACAAACATATTATATATAGAAATATTATATTAATTTTTTGTGGTAAAACCGCCTTAAAAAACCACCCGTTCCCTCATTATCTATGGGACAACCGATAGATAGCGCGCAAAATCATTGCATAACTATCTGTCTATTGTTATTACATAACTAATGATTTTGTAAAGCATTACACAGTTTATAGCGCCCTAACAGTCGCGCGTCTACTCATGTAATATAGTTTAAAGCAATAGTCAAATCAAAAAATGCTTAATAAAATAGTTAAACTATATTATAATATATTTAAATTATGTGATTAATAAATGATATCATATTATGTTGACATTAAATATAAAGCAATTAACTAATTAATGAACTTTTCTTTAAGTATATATTTAAATTTTTTAAATCTATTATGTGATTGAAATCAATTTCATTGTCTAAAATAAATAAAAGTTTTATAAAGTAATACAAAAAAAAAGTTTTGGACATTAATCTCACAAATGACTGATAATAATCGACTAGAAATCTAGTGATTATTTTTTTTTGTATAATTTTTGTTTTTTTAATAATTATTTTGTTATGTAATAACAAGTGTGAACTCAGAAAAGCAATGATAAGCCGCAAGAAAATCATCTCCCGATCCACGGATGACCTCGACTTGGACTCAGACAAAGTTACCGACGATTCATACGATGACGACGTCTGGCATTCAGAGGACAGACTCCTAAAGGTTAGCACTACTTATGAAAAAAAGTCATTAAAAGTTTTATTTTTTTTTGACAAAAATTTTAATAAGTTATGACTTAAATATTATTTATGATATTATTACTATTTTTTGTTTGTTTGTTATTATCATTATCATAGCATATGATAATCTCTGTTAAACAAAAAAAAATCTTATGAAATATATATTTTTTGTGAATATATAAAGCAGTTATTTAAGTGACACAATTGATAATATCGTACAAATAGTTTTATATATATTTATTAGAAATGACAGATAAGTAATAGTTTCTACACATCAAAAATATTTTGTATAATTTATTATATTATAATTTTTAAAATTATTATAAGTTATATACTAGAATTACTGTATTATAATGTATGATATATTCAAAAATTATTTTGTTACTATTGTGTGTGTTTTTTTGTTGTTGAAAAAAAATATATTTATTGAATATGATAATAATTATTATATCGTATTTTGTAATAATTTTTTTTAATATCATATATCATTTGATATCAAAGTATAGAGAAATAAAAGTATTTTAAAAAAATATATATTATTAACATAAAGGATAACATTTTTATTAACTTCCGAATAATTGTAAAAATAATTTTAATAGTATTTTTTTATTTTCTAATATATTGAATTTATTATGATAAAGTTGTAACTTTATTTTTGAAATTATGTCACTATTTTTATTATAATGAGTTTTCAAAAAATAAAAGTTTTTGTTTTGTATACTCCAAAACATATTTAAATGATATATTTAAAGAAAAAAAAATTTTTTTTAAAATAAATTGTTTAATTGCTATTACTCTAAGGTATTTTACATGTATAAAGTTTTTTTGTGTATAAATTTCTAATATACAAAATTAGAAAAAAACAATAAAACTTGAATAAATTTTAAGCAAATTTTAAAGTCCAATGAAGCTATAAATATATGTATTATATTATACATACAATGTCTGCTAATAAAAATGCAACTGTTTATTATTATTATTATTATTATTGTCTATAGTGTTAGGATATATGCGTGATTTTTTCAAATAATTTGTTTTGAATTGCATTTTTTCCTAAACAACAAAAATAAAATTTAGTTATAAACAGATAATTTATTCAAATAATTTTTCTTTTACTTAATTTATTTATTATTATAATATTACTGTATTGTATATACAGTACAATACTATATACAGTATATAAAATTATGTGTGTGTTTTTTGGCTACAAGTTTACTCATACATATAACTGTATATAAATTTATAAACAGTTTATATATGTTACCATCAAAATGAAAATGAGTACATTATTCCAGTTAATATAATCATCTCTAACACATACATACATACAATGTGTAGGATTATTATGTTTTGTGTCTAGAAATATATAAATAAATAAATTATATTAATTAAGTTATTTTGGATACATAGTATATAAGTATATATATATTTATCATTGTTTTTTCATAATTAAAAAAATATGCGATTTGAATTACAATTATGTATTTTGCAATAACTGTTGCTATTTTTCTATATTATTAATTTCCTAATCAATAGAGAGAGAGAGAGAGAGAGAGAGAGAGAGAGTCTAGAAGTTATATAGAGATGAGTTATAATGTAAATATTTTTGTTGTCGTTTTTTTTATAAATAATTTGATAAAAATTTTTTTATTGAGATATTTTTGTTATTGCTAAAAAAATATTTAAATAAAAGTAGAGTAAAATGTTTATTTAGTTATGAAATTTTACATAATATTTTCTACTGTACTATCTACATGTATTAAAAAATAAACATAATAAACACTATTTTTTATGAATTCATGTCAAATTTTTGTTTCAATTTTTTTAAAAAAATAAATGTGTTACATAACAATTATAAACACATAGTTTGTTTGGGCAAAAAATACTTTTATCAAAGTTTAGTTTAGTTTTTCATATTAAAACAACAAAATAAATATTTTAATAGTAAAATAATAATAATAATACTAACTGATATCATAGAAATCTATGCTATTTATTATTATTATATTATTATTATTAGTGAGAGTTTGTTTTGAGTGATAAGTGAATAGTTGTAAACATTAAAATAAAAATGTTTTTTGAAAAAATTACTAAATTTTTTGTGACACTTTAATAGATATTTGATATAAATCTATGAAATATTATTATTCAAAATATATTTAGCAAATTGCATATGTTATGTAATTTTACTGATATTAATATTTAATATTCATTGGTTTTTTGTAAATATGGTTTATAAATAAAATATTAAATTTAATATAAAAAACTAACACACAAAATGCAACTCAAATATATAATTGAGTTGTTTTAAACAATTTATATTTAAATCATTGTTGTTAACCCTATGACCACATTTTAATAATAATAATAATAGTTTGACAGACATTATTGTATATTTAATCCGTTGTTTCTATAAAAAAGTGTATAATTTTTATGAATTAAATGTTTAACTATAACTTTATATAAATACAAAAAAAATATTATATAAATGTTTTATTTATAGCATTTAGTTCTGAATAATTGAAAGTATAATCCGGAATAACAACAAAAGAAATTTCAATAGAAAAAACAAAAAATACTATTATTATTATTATTAATAAAATCAGTCAAAATTGAATCAAACAATTGATTGCTTACTTAATAGAGATCAAAGACAATAGCAATTTATAGCAAAACAATTGATTTTTCTATAATAATAATATAATAATAACTATACTGTATATAAGACTACAGTTTATTAAAATAAATAACTAAATATAAAGAAAATTATTTTGTTTAAAAAGTTTTTATGTTTAATTTCACTTTATATAAAAATTATAGCCTTATTTTAAATGTAATTCTAAAATAGTAAAAAATAATATTATTTTTTATTTACATTTTTGAGATTTATTTAAATAAACAAATATGAAATTCAATTTAAATAGAAAGTATGTCTTTTTTATGACTGTAAGTATCTATAGTTTACACCCAATAACCAAAAATAAAGGTTTTGTCATTAAAGTTATGTCTTATTTAATGTCTTTTATATATATATATATATACTTATTGGATTAGGATGAGTAATATATTATGACTAAATATTATACATATATACTGTATATATATATATTTGTTTTAGAAATAATTAAACATAAAATTATAATTTATTTATATTTATATATGAATAAATACAATACATTAATGTGTTGTACATACAGTATATACTGTATATATCGAAAAAACCTTTAAAAAATATCGGAAATTATATTAATATTTAGATAATTTGAATAACCTGTAATGTTTTTAATGTTTTCTTAATCATTGTAAATAATAATTATATTTAATGATTAAGTAATTGCTTAATGAATACTTTCTTCATAACAGTTTTAGGCAATATTTTAATTTATTTTCAATAATTTGTTTGATTTAGTAAAATATAGATATTATAATTTAATATAACTATATGTATTATAAAAAATTATATATTTATCGATTTATCGACATATATTTAATATGTATCTGACAATTAATCTATAATACAGTAATTAATTTGTTTATACATTATATATATAATTTAATAATTATTAGTAATTATTTAAAAATATTAAAATTATGTGAATAGTTTAATAGTATTATAATTCTAAAAGTAAGACATTAACTAGTAATTACAACTATGATATTTAATTACAGTTATAATATATAAATTTATATAAAAATTAATTATTACACCTTTTCATTAAAATTAAATATTATTATATTATATTATATTTTCAAATAATCTCAGTCTTAGATCAAATTTATGTAATCAAATCCAATTGTTTTTAACTACTGATAACTTATAAAATAATAATTATTCAGTATATTAAATAATGTTTTAATAATAATATGTTATAAATTATATTTGTTTTTTTAGTCAGTAATTTAAATCATATTTATATAAAGTTAAAACAAAATTATACGGAAACAATTATAAATAAATATTTATTTATATTTTATAATTTAATAATATTTTTTAAAAAAGATGAGTACATATTTATTTTTAAAAATGTTTATTTTTAAGATTATTTTTATAAATAATATTAATTTATTAAATCTGAAAAATGTAACTTAAGTTAAGTTAAACTTATGTCTCATAAACCGTTCATTATATTAGTTGCTTTCGCCTTATTTATTGATCATTTAAATGATAATAATCGACATTTTGTTTGTTTTCAAAATAAAATAAAATAAAAGCGATTTAAATAATGAAAAGTTTTATTATGTTTTGTTTGATTTTTTGTTGTTTGTTGTGTTAGTAGACGTGTTTTAGTTCATAAGTTCAAAACATCAAATTTCTGTTTCAATTTTAACAAAACTTATTTTTGTAATTTATTTTCTTTAACTTTGAAAACTTTTAAGTAATAAAAAAATGCTTTTAACTGTTTTTTTCTGGTGATTGTTAATGTTATAAGTGTTATAATTATTATTGTAAGTTGTGTTATAAAAATGCAATTTAATTCAATTTAAGTCATAAACATAAAATATATAATATTTTTTTTTAAATGTCTACTATATTTATAAAGTTTTAATTTTTTTTATTTAATTAAATAAATACCGACCTCTATGTATCACAAGTTTTTATTTTGGTTATAATTATTGTGAATGTTAATGAAATTATAATATTATATTTATATCCAGTAATATAATCTTGTTTTTATAAATTTACTAAATAAACTTTAAAAAATAATACTACATTTAAAGTATAATTAAATTATTTTAAGTAAACAAATACAATTTTATAATTTATTATTTTAATTATATTTTTAAGGTAGTTATACAAAATTTATTTTAGTATTTTTTTGTTGTTTTGTTGTAAAAACTTTATTTACAATTTTAATAATATGAGTAACTTTTTATGTAATAATAATTATTATATTTTGTGTTTAAAAGGTTACATTGTTTTACTTTGTTATGGATCTTATAAATGACTTTATTTTAAAAATAGAGTACAAAAGTCTTATCAGATAAAATTATTTTATTTTTATACTTAATATTATTAACTTTTGTTAGTATTTATTTATATTAAAATAATTTATTATTATATTAATTATTAAATAACAATATATTTTCAGCAAAATATTTTTCTCATTAATTTTCCATTGATTATAATGAACAACAAAAATAAAAAATAATAATTAATAATAGATTAAAGTTCATTGGATTCACTGACATTGGCTAATAATCTGTTAATTAAATAAATTATAGTATTATTAAAATAAAAATTTATTTAATAAAATGTATATATTTATAAATATTATATTTTTCACAACTATTTATATATGTATTTAATTACTTGTAAAAATTGTATTGAAATATTTATATAAGCATACAATTTAATTGAGATTTATCAAACATATATAAAAAGTGTTGTTATATTATACAAAATAAAAATAATAATCAATTTAATCAATCATTTTTGATTTGACTTTGTCGATCAGATAAACTATACAATGCTATATATTTAATATTATACTATAAATAGTTAATAATATAAAAAACACACACATATATATATACTGTATATTTACATATGATATAATTTATTAGAAATTAGATAATAAATCATTGATAACTATGGATGCGGTTTTAAAAAGTAATATTTCAAAACTAAATAATAATAATAATAATAAATTGTTACTATTTTCCCACACAATGTCAATGTAAAGTAAAGGTCAGTTAAGTTATGTCTAATCATACATCAAAAATATACTGTAGTAGACAAACATCTAAATGTGTTTTATTGTTATCACTGTTTTGCAATTTGATTGAAATTACTATTTTTATATACTATTATTATTATTATTATGTAGTACTTTATGATGAAATGTTTGTTGTTATATTAAAGTTATGTTTAGAAAAACTTTATCACATATATAATTGATTGCAAGTTTTTGAAAAATTAGTTTTTTCCAAATTCATAGATATATAAACTATAATTTCAATGTATTTATATTTATATGATTGTTGTATACATCAGTTACTGAGATCTAATTGTAATGTTTATCTCTCTTTTCTATGTGAATAAACTTTATATATATATATATATATATATATATATATATTTGAAGTTTAATATCATTATTAAATGTAATTGTCATATAAAAGAGTGGGTCAAACAATATTTGAATGTCTAATTGAGTGTATTTTTTTATTTATAAAACAGTTTAATATATACAGGTATATATCTATTTTTACTTGCAGTATAATTATGATTATGTATATTATGCACACATATTAGTAAAAAATCAGTAAAATTATATGTAACATCATTTTATAATTTATAATAATATAATAATAATAATTGTTATTACTTTTCCCTAAAGTGAAAAACATTTGCATATAATATGACATTATTTTTATTAGTATAATTATTAACATAAAATAAATTAATGTTTTATATTGACAATAAAATAATAATAATAATAATGAAAATAATAGTTAATTGATTGTTACGATTAATTTTAGGATCACATCCAAGAAATATTACACAAATGGGAGCGAATTGATGATGAAATTTGGGCAAAAATAGTTTGTATGCAAAAAAATCGTCGGGTGGCCAAAGCCTATGCTAGAGCACCGGTACTTACCATCAATGGCTCATACATTGGATTCGATGGCTATCGTATTGGACTCAATGGATTTGATGGACCGCTTAAAGACACGCAAATTGAGGAGATCAGGGATCACATTGGCTCAGGGGTTAAAATTAAGATTGATGATGAGGGTTGGTATCAATTTTGTCAATATCTTTATATATTGATTATATTATATCTATTTTTAGCAAACAATAGCATTTTATCTGATTTTGTTTTTGTTTTAATTTATTAATAATTAAATGATTTCTATTTTTGTTTTTGTTTGAAACTAAAACTACTTTTACTATTTTTTATTGTTATATTTAATCAACAAATATCATATAATACATGTATTATGTAATAATTAAACGGTTGAATATCTAATTATTTTGGATTATTTATTTTATTTTTACTACTATATTATTATTTTTTAATAATAATAATAATAAATAGATCTATCAGTTAATAAACTTTTCAATGGTTAGTATTTAATACTTAGTCAACCACTGTTTTTTAATAAATAATTAGCATATAAGTTGTATTAATAAATATATAATTTAAGTGAAATGATAACAAGGAGATAACAATAACAACAAAATTAATGTTAGATAAGAAAAATAACAATAAAATAAACAAAATATATTATATAAAAGATTTTCATCTATGTGTTTGTGTGTTTAAGAAAAAAATAAATATAATTTATAAATAAATATGTAATTATACAGTGGTGTATATAACTTATTAAATATAAACAAACAAAAGTAAACTTTTAAATATTTTTATGTATGTATGTATATAATGAAGCACCTGTCACTACAATATATTTATATGATAATTATTAGGTCATTAAAAACAAACAGTCCATTAACAACAAAAAATATATTTGTTAAATATCTATTATTAATTAGTTATTTTGATTTATCATTTTATTGTATATGCAGGTTAAAAATATTATATTTAGCAATTTACTATTGAATCAGTAATATTAGTTAGCTTAATTAGTAATATATATTATTTGAATATATCTTATAAATATGGATATGAAAATTATTAACAATGAAAATTGATGGATCAATTGTTGTTATCGATTATATATTTTAAATAAATAATATTTAAATGGTAAATAAATTATAAGTTTTAGTATATAATTTTAAAATTTAAATAAATATTTTTTTTAAATATATTATATTTATATGCTATAAAAACTAATTATTATTTATTATTATTTCATTAAAAAATAATGTAAACATTAATATTTAGGTAATATATTAATCAAACGTATCGGCAAAGAGAATGTCTTTGTAAAGGTCTGGCAACTGATTGGACACAAAAATAACTGTTTGGCCGACGATTTGGTCAAAAACAATGGCATTTTGATGATTGATAAGAGTGTCAAACTGTTTGATATGAATAAGTTTGTCGATAATATACAGAACGAACTCAAGAACTCATACCCGGATCGGAGACTACTTGAGTCACAATGTATATCATGTGTGGCTTTTGTACGCGACTGTCGCAACATACTGGAGCTACCCATTTGGATAATGATTATCAATATTGTGGCATTGGATCTGCTTAAAAGTAAACTTATAGCACCGGTTGCCAATAAAACGGGAAGTGGTGGTGTTATCAGTGGAGTAGGTGCCGGCATACCTACTTGTGAACCCAAATTTGAACTCTACGGCGATTGCCTGGAGTATCATAAGCCCAATCCCTATCACACTCATGTAGATCACCATAACTGTAGTGCCAATAAACTGACACTTCGCCGATGGCGAGCACTATATGGTCCACTATTGCCATTGTTGCCGCCCAGGGATGTGGAAAGGGATGAAAAGATACGTAAATTAAAGGAAGAATTAGAAGAAGTTAGAATTAAAATCGGAAATATTGGTAAAAATAATTTTTATCTCTAAATGTGATGTCTATTATGTGGAAAAAAGTGATATATATTTATTGTTCCTAATAATAATAACACGACTAATAATTAAGTTTTTTGTTAACAATTTATTTATTTATTACTCAATTAAACCGTTTGCCAAAAATAACAAATTAACAAAAAAAACTAACATTTGTCTCAACATTTTTTTTGAAACAATAACTTCTCAATTTTCTCACAACATTTTAATAATGCTTTAAATTTTCACAATAAAAAGGTTAATATTTCTCTACAGTATATACTTTTTTGTAAACTATTTTTAAAATTAATTATTTTATTTTTTATTACTTTTATAAACTATCAGAAAATCAATACTCATTGAAACGTATGGCATCACAGGTGATGCCGCCGTCGAGTCGTTTTCAACTTAAAAAGTCTTTCAGTGATTACAGTATTTTGAATTTATGGTCAAAATCTAAAACTAATAATAATAATAATAATAATAATACTATCAATAAAAATAATTTATCAAAACATACAATTAATAGCAAAAGTATGAAAAATAAGTTTATCAGTAATGATGATAATATTATTCATAACAATAATAATAATAATAATTCATTATATGATGATTCTGGTCTCGACTCTGATCCCTATACATCCGATACTAAATATTCTGGCATTTATTGTATGAAATAATATTTGTTTAAATATAAATCATTCAAAACTATTATCTAACTATTGATAAAATTTAAAAATTCATGTTAAGAAAAATATTTGCAAAAAAACGATTATTTAATTTTATTAAAAAAAATAATTTACATTTCATTTCGATTAAATTTTTAAAAAACAAAATTAAGTTTGTTTTCAAGCAAATTTTGTAATATTTAAATATTATTTTTGCCAGTAATAAAATATTATATTTTTGCATATACATTAATTGTATATTTATTTATGAAAAAATAGGAAATTTTTAAATTTTGTTTCATCGTTTACCATGCTCAATTTATTCATTAATATGAAATTATTATATTTTTGTTTTTGTTGTTGTTTATATCAATATTTTTAATTATTAATAGATTATCTATTATTGTATAAATAAAAAAATTATCAAAAATAAAATTAATTGCTAATAATAAAAAATGTATAAAAAATAAATATTTTAAAATATTGATATAATTAGATAAAAATTTAAAAAATAATTATAAAAAACATATAATCAGTTCCGTTAGTCAACGTCATAGACTACACCGATTTGTCGGCGTATTTCGTCTTCAATTTTGGCCATAACTATACTGTCCTTATGTGACATCTTTTGACTTTCAATGCGTCCCTCATTAATACATTTGCGGACCTCTTCGGCCTCATATCTCAGTGCTAGACTGTCCGGTGCATAGAATAGATGTTCATCAGTCTTCGGGAACGGAAAATCATGGACAACATCGTTGATATAAACCCTTTCGGATGACTTAAAATTACCGGCAATCTGTTTGTTTGATTCAACCAAAGTTTTTTATATTAAAATTTAATTATATAACTTATTATTTTCTAATTAAAATACTTACTCTAATTGTACCGTTTGTACCGATAATAAAAGCATCGTTAGGTAACTTAAGCAAACCGTTGGCAAATATACTGGCTGTCCGATTGCCGCCATATTTCAAATTAGCAGAAAAGTTAAGGTCAACACCGTTTTGGTTGAGATTGCCGATGGCCTCGATTTTCGATGGCATCTCACCGTCATATGCCGAGTCGGCCAATCCTATGGCGTAAATACCCAAATCGAGTACAGTTCCGCCGCCCAACTCTCTAGTAGATACCCGGTCTTCCATAACCATCCTATAGCCGAGTCCTCCATTTACGTGATAAACATTACCAATAGTTCCGCGTCTGATGTGTTCAAAGGCAAAGTCAAAAGACGGGGTAAACCTTTCGACCAGTGCTTCCATAAAAAAGAGTCGTTTGCTTTTGGCCAGTGATACCATCTCTTCGACCTCTGAATTAAAAAATTAAAAAAATTAATTAAAAGTTGTGACATTGTTGTGATCTCATCATATATTTCTATAATTATATAAATATAATCAATAATTTTATCTTATTTTTTAAGTTTTTAAAAACTAAAAAAATTATTGAATACATTAATTATTAGTACATACGCTTAGAGTTCATAGCCAATGGTTTTTCAACCAACAGATGCTTTCCGTGTTCAAGCATTAGTCGTACGTTATCTAAGTGTACGTTATTAACTGTACCGATATATACCACCTGAACCTCGGGATCGTTAGCTAACTCGAGATAAGATCCATAAGCTTTGGAAACGTTGTGTCGATTAGCAAAATCTTGAGCAGACGATAGACGCCGAGAGCCAACCGCAACAAACTTTAAGAAAATTATTTTTTAATTGAAATAATTTTTTTATTAGATTATATATTTATTTAATATAACAATATAATTTCTAATATACCTGATGTTGTGGCATACTTTTAGTAATGGCCACAAAATCATTGCTAATTTTTCCGGCTCCCATTATACCCCATTTTAATGGATCATTTTTGCTACTATTAAAAAAATTCATCAAATTATTTTTTTTATAAAATTTATTAATATTATTTATTATAGTATAAACATATATTATATTTGAATAAAAAAATAAAAAAAATATTGTAAATACACACACACTCAGTAACTATGCAACACATAAAAAAGCAAACATTTATAAATTTACAACAATAGTAGTATATTCAGTATGCAATGACTCGGATGCGTTGGTTTAGTTTTTTTTGTGTTTATTATAGAAAATTAAATAATATTATTTAGAAATATATATCAAAAGATTTTTGTGTCTATTAATACTAACTGGAAATTTCAATATATTAAGTAAATTGAATATATTGTGGATAACAACAAACTCTTGATTTAGCCTACAATTTTAATATGCAGTTAATGTATTGACCACTATATGGTTTGTCCTAATTGCACCAAGGTTGTGACCAATTTTATTGCAATTGAATTTAGTTAAATATATATATATATAATATATTTACCTGATTCTAGCGTTATTAACGTTATTTTGTGTTGAGACCACTTTCGGTTTATACCCCCTGGCCCGTCGAGGTTTGGCATCCCTGGGCTCCCTAAGCAATGCATAACATTTAAAGTAAGCGATGCAGTTTGGTAAAGCTTAAATAAGTTTTTCATTAAACATTGAAACAATTGTATTGAGACAAACAAAACAAAATTGACATTTACTTGCGAACACACAAACACCTAATAAAATGCAATACAAATTACAATAAATCATCACTTTTTTGAAAATAATAAATTGATTAAGTGATCATAATTTGTAAACTCTAGTGTTATAATAATAATAACTAAATTAACATTTTAAAGTTGCTTTAATTGATTAGAAAAATATTGATTAAAAATATGTTTATAAACAGTACAAACTACAAGTATTGATATCAATTATCGGCAAAAATATATATTGCCATAAATATAACAGGAAATTATAATTAAATTTATATTATTTATTATTATTAATTTTTTAATTATAAATAAATTAATTTAAGCGTTTTGTATATTTTATACTAAACATAAAAATATATACTTTTATATTAACAAATGTTTATGATAAAATTGTTTTTTTAAATATTTTTTAATATTTAATATTTTTATATTAGCTCAATTTATACTAAATATTTATTATTGAGTATTAGCTAACACATATGCCGATATATTAATTAAAATTTTTTGTTGAATAATTAAATAATTAGAATACTATTTTTGGATAACTGTTTGATAATTTAAAAAAAAACAAATAAATAAAAAATACATTACCTTTCAATTGAAACAATTGATGATATCAAACATAATAATAAAATCAATTGAAATTTCATTTTATTTTTAATGTTCACACTATTTACTGTAATTATAAATACAATGAAACGATAAATAAAAATTTCAATTTATTATTATTTTATTTATAAACAACTGTTGAGTTTAACAATTAATTTTAAAATAACAGCAACTTTTGCCAAATGGTTACTATTTATAAACTAAACAAAAATCATATTATAATCAATTATTTACAGTAATTGTTGGGAGAAATGATTAAAATGATTTTGTGTACAACAGTATAATAAACTTATTAAATAGTGAATGAATTATTATTATTAAAAATAATAATAAGTTTTTCAGTTTAAAAACACTGTGTATTTATTTAACAATTTATTAAAAAATTATGTTTAAATAATCCAATCTCCGGTTCTGTCCTTCAATTTATAGGGAACTGGATGTTAGGAAAGTTTCACTTCATTGAATAATACACTAGAAATTGTTTAGTCAAAACTTCTTTTTATATACACTTTTTAAAAATAAAATGACAAATTTTATGTGTAATAAATAAATTATATATTATATATTTAATATGTATTTTGCACTTTACAATAAAAAACCAGTAGTTTAGTAGTTAGTTGTCTGTGAACTGAAATAAACTATTAATTTTAATTTTTAATGAAAGATTAAGTGCACAAAAAAAATAAATAAATACAGTATTTGTTTGCACTATTGAAAGTACAAACAGTTTCTATATTTTCATTACCCTCTCATCTGAACAAATGAAAAAAAATAATTAATTCATAGACGACAACACTTGTGAATCATTTATAATAATAATAATATGAAAATCATTTTTGAGTTAACACTTGACAGTAATCCTTGGAAAAGTTTCATTCATACAATTTGTATAATATTAATGTATTTATTAATACATCTCTTTAAAAAATCTCTTATGGATAACAGTTTTTTTTAGCGGTTTATATTTTATAATATCAGGGTTATTATACTAGTATAACAATAGGATTGATGATGATAAAGATGGTCAGATTATCTATAGATTATAAAGGTCATTCACCAAGGTAATACTGTGATAAATACTATAAAATTAATAGGATATACATATATATACTATATTATATAAATATTATGGACTTTTTTTTAAAAAAAATGATTATAATAATAGTTGTACTAAACTACTGAATATTTAAAACTAAACGTAAATTTATATATATATAAATTTATATATTAACAAAACAATAAAATTGATATTACCTTTAGATGCAATTGTAATGTCTACTACTGTATATGACTTATAAATACATTGAAATATTAAAAAACTTTTCCTACATATACTTGTTATTTAACTAAAAACACTTGTACTAAGTTTGCACTTTTTTTTGATAGTCAATAGTTTTGTATGAAAATTATTGATACATACAAATGTTTTATGATTTTTTTTGTAGTTAAATAATACCAAACGTTTAGAGCAATAATCAGTTTTAAAAATTTGATTTATAATATTAATTTGTTTTTAACACACAAAATAAAATCAAGACATTTTCGTGACTCATTTTATTGCTTTAATTTTTTTTAATATAAATATAATTTATAGTATTAAACATGTTTAGTATATTTAGTTTATTAATTAAATGCAAAGTTCAACAACTAAAATATTATCATTTTGTTTTTGTTTATCGTTTAAAACAATAATATTTTATATAAAATAGAAAGTTTATATGTTAATAATACTAGAAAAAAATTTGCTTAAAAAAATTATCATTGTAATTGAAATTAAATTGCAATTGTATTTTATGATATACAGTAAATTATAATAATGATTTTCAATATAATTGGTCAATTAGTTTAAACTCTAGGACACACATTTAAATATTATTGATTAATTTATTACACATTACCCGGAAATATTATATATCAATGATATAAAAAAAATTATTTAATATTTTATAGTAATATTGTAATTTAGAATCTACTGTATTTTACATACTTATCAATACAATATCATAACTATTAATATTTATTTTTATTTTTAATATGAAATTTGTAGCTATATATTAACGTAAATTAAGTAATAAGATTTAACTATTATATTATATTATAAATAATATTGGCAATTTTTCAAATATTTAAATTGAAATTATTATTAAATTGTGTATTTTTATTTTTGTATTCATATAATTTTATAGTTATATTAATAACTTTACATTATAACATTCAACTCATCATATTAAATATTAATAGATACTTAAATATATTCAAATTTTAATTAACTAATTATATTAACTAAAATAATAAAAATATAATTTATAATTAATATTATATATATATATATATGCTTTATATAATTAATTGTTTATATTATATTATTTATATTTTATTATTTATCATAAAAATCTAAAATTTAAATTTAATATCTTTAACATTGAATGTTATCCATAATAATTGTTTATTATTATATTATAAATTTAAATTATATTATAAAACTTTTGTTTTTGTTTTGCTAAATTATATAAAGTATTTATAAATTTTTTTTATAAAAATAGATTTTTCACATAATTAAAGATAATAATATAATTAAACGATTGGTCCAATTATAGTTAGTCTCATAAATAAATTCAATGAGAAATATTTAATCAAATAAAAATTATTTTCTTTTATTAGACTCCCATTAAATAGAAGGACATATTATATTAAATATATAACGAATAAAAATAAAATAAAAATAAAATTTTAATTTTATAATATATTATAATATGAGATAACAATGAAAATAAAAACAAACCAAAATCTTATTTCAACAATATTTATTAATAATTACAAAATCAAATATTAAAAAAAAGTTATTTACATATATATATAATTAATTGCATTTAATTGATTAGAAAGTTATATAGATTTAATGACTATTAGCTATTAGCTGTTTGTTTGATGATTGTTATAAACAACTTTTGTATATCAATTGTAATAAAATAATTATTTATTATTATTAATAATAAAAACTATTAAAATAGTTTTTCCCAAACTATGTATTCAATAACACATTTAATACATGAGAATTATTTAATTAGTATTTTTATGGTTCAACTTATTTGCGGTATCAATGGTGTCGTTGTTGTTGTCGATAACAATTTATTACTAAATAGATCCCAATCAACAACTGCTTCTCCAGTGAACAACAGTGATGGTGAACCTGAACATCAAAACCTGCCGGTTCTGTTCACACCGATAACCATAAGAAATGTGACACTGAAAAACAGGATCTGTGTGTCACCGATGTCCATGTATTCGGCTGCCGATGGTTTCATCAGTGACTTTCACTTTACACATCTGCTATCGTTTGCATTGGGCGGCGCCGGTCTGGTCATGACAGAGGCTACGGCGGTTACACCGGACGGTAGGATTAGTCCCCGAGATTTAGGCATTTGGAAGGATCAGCACATCAAACCGTGGACACAGTTGGCCAAAACAATTAAACTGTTTGGTGCCGTTCCAGGCATACAGTTAGGACACGCCGGCAGGAAAGGTAGCACTGAGGTATTGTGGGCAGGAGGCGAGTCATTAACTGATGAAAAAGGTGGTTGGCCTGTTATTGGTGCCAGTCCACTGGCCTATGGGTTGCATATATGGAAAATACCAAAAGAGGCCACAATTGAGGACTTGGAAAATCTTATGAAAGCTTTTGTATTGGCGGCCAAACGGGCCGTAAAGGCTGGCTTTGAGGTCTCAAAGTATATTTTTGTTTAATATATTTAGTAAAGTTATGATAGTTTTAAATATAGTTTGAATTGTTATTAAAATAATTAGGTAATTGAACTGCATTTCGGTAACGGCTATCTCATACATCAATTTCTATCACCGGTGACCAACAAACGAACTGACAGTTTTGGCGGTACTCTCGACAATCGTATGCGTTTGGCCATCAAAACGGCTCGTATGGTCAGAGATGCCATACCATTGAATGTTGTATTGGGTGTTCGGGTTTCAGTCAGCGATCTGGTGGCCAATGGCTGGGATATACCACAGACTATAGAATTGGCGAAAGAGTTGCGCAGAGTTGGCGTTGATTTTCTGACGTGTAGTTCTGGCCAATTGGTTCCGACTTCTCAGACCAACGGTATGGATAAATATGTGTTTCAGGTTCCGTCGGCCGGACTCATCAACAAACTTACTGGACTTACAACAGCCGCTGTCGGCAAAATCATTGATCCAAAATATGCCGAAAAAATTGTTTCCAAAAAAACGGCATCACTGGTAATGATAGGTAGGGCTTTCCTTGATAACCCTCATTGGCCATATCGAGCCGCTGATATACTGTCAGTCCCGACAACGGCTGTTGATTACCCGAAACAATACGGTTATGCCATCGGAGACAATGAGTGGAGAGACTTACTTAAAAAATCGTTTTAATTTTTAAATTTATATTTAATTGATTTGTTTATACAGAAAATATACCAAAAATTATATATACTTTAAAATACATTAAATATAATTATTATATTTTCATATATATATATATATATATATACTGTATATTCATGTATATAAGTAATATATGAATCTTTAATAATAAATAAGTTAAAACTTTAGAGATTATACTGCAATAAAATATTTATGTATAAATATATAAATGATTTAATATTAACAATATTAAAATTGATGTTATTTATATATTGTTAAAAACGGGTAAATATATTAATATTTTGGTGCATTTAGTGCAATATTTTTTTGCAGTCAAAATTTTTTTTATACAGTAAACAATCAGGTTATGTTCAAATGACCAAATATTGCACTAAATGCACCAAAAATAAATTAATATATAATTTTTGATGAAAAAATGGGAATTTTTTTTAAACATTTTTGATGCTATCTTTTGTTAGGACAGATAGTAAGACAAACATCCGACGATAAGCTATATATATAAATAAAGATTTTATTTATTATTGTTAGTTATAGCAAATTTAAATTTAGCAAAGTTTATTTTTTTGAAAATTATAATTACTTTTTAAACATATTTTTTTGTTGAAATTGTAATAGATTTCAATCTAAAGTAATATATATTATAATATATTATAATAGTATTAATATTTAAAAAAAACTTTTTTTAATATTGATATTTTAAGTTAAAATTATTTAGATAATTATAATATTACATATTGAGTTATAATTAGTTAATAATTAAAAAAAACAATAATTAATAACATAATTATAATTATTCAAAAATGTTATTTAAATCATATATATTGATTACACAATTGTTTTTATACTCTATATTAATTACTATTAATTGCAAAACTATTAATAATAATAATCAAAACATTAGTCGAAAAATTAAACGAAATGGTATGAGAAGTGATTCTGTAGCCAACACAACCCTACCGGTGCTCTTTACACCCATAAGCATACGCGGCGTAACCCTACGAAATCGGATATGTGTATCACCGATGGCAATGTCGGCCTCAGAAAACGGTTTGGCCACTGACTTTCATTTGGGACATTTGCAGGGATTTGCTTTAGGCGGCGCCGGACTAGTGATGATGGAGGGAACAGCTGTATCACCGCAAGGTCTGGTTACTCTTGAAGACAACGGTCTATGGAGTGACGACCACATTGAACAGTTAGCTCGTATTGTCCGACAAATCAAGAAATATGGAGCCGTTGCCGGTATTCAGCTCAACCATTCCGGTCGAAAAGGTAGCGCTAAAAAGGGTTGGGAAGGCGGCAGCTCTATAGCCGACAATGATGGCGGATGGCCTACAGTAGCTCCCAGTCCTATACCTTATGATAAAGAGTTAATTTGGAAAATACCGAAAGAGGCCACTATTGATGATATTGAAAAAATTAAGAAACAATTCGCTGCGGCCGCCAAACGGGCCGTTACGGCCGGGTTTGAGGTCAGCATATTATTTGTTTATTAAATTTTCTTAAAAAAGTATATTTTAATTATAATCTTATAATTAGTAAATATATTAATTGATATTTATTTATGAATGTCTTAAAGGTAATTGAATTGCTATTTGCACATGGATATATAGTACACCAGTTTATGTCTCCCCTGTCCAACAAACGGACCGACAAATATGGCGGAAGTCTGAAAAATCGGATGCGTTTCGGACTAGAAGTGGCCGAAAGTGTGGCCAAAGAGCTATCCGATAACATTGTACTCGGAGTCAGGATTACTGTTACTGATCACGTAAATGGCGGTTGGGATGTGCAGTCAGCTGTAAAAATGGCCAAAAAACTCAAATCCAAAAGAGTAGACTTTATTGACTGTTCCGGCTATAGTGGACTCGTGCCGTGGGATCCGTCAATCAAATCAAATCCATATACTGTACAGTTGGCCGCATCGGAGCGGATCCAAAAAGAGGCAGCAATTATGACCAGTGTTATAGGAGGTGTGATTAGTCCTAAGTATGCCAACGAAATTGTGGCCAACAGTACGGCATCGATGGTGATGTTGGGCAGGGCTTTCCTTAACAACCCTCACTGGCCATATCATGCGGCAGACATGTTGGGCGTACAGATAGACAACTTGTTTCCCAAACATTATGCTTATGTCATATCAAACAAACGGTTTAGGGATTTAGTAAAAAGTAATTATAAATAACACGTTTAATAATGACATATATTTTAATAATCATTTATTATTTTTTATTGATAAAAACTTAAATGTTTTCTTAATATATTAAGAGTAATACTGTATATTAATGTATTTTGAACTTAAATAAAAATATTTATAATATAGAAACTTACTTATCTATAAATAATTAATTTTTTAAAATTTTATATTTGTGTCATATATTTATTTTTATTCAACTATTATTATTGTTATTAAATTTTTTAATTTTTATTAAATGTAAAATTAACGTTGTTTTATTAATTCATTATTAATTTACCTTTTTTGATTAATTATTTATTTTCGATTATAAATAATCAGAAAATAATTAATTTAATAATAAAATAATATATTTTTAAAAAATAATTGTTATTTTACGTGTAAATTTATGATTAAGATTAAAATAAAAATTTTTTTAAAAAGTGCTAAATTAGTGCAAAGTCTTGTAACTTAAAAATACATCAAAATTCAAGTTATGTTATGTTTTAATTTAAGGAAAAGGGAGAGTCCTCCAAAAAAAATTTTTTTTCACTTAAATAATAATTTGTAAATCGGGTTCAATGCAATCGCCTGTAAGGACAGGTATTATAAGACACTGGAAGGTCGACTATAAAAATTAACATAACTATTGTTTATTTTTGTTGAAAAGCTTAATACCAGATATAGTAATAGTAATAGTAGTAGTAGTAGTAGTATGTGGTAAAAGTGGATAACATTTTTTACAGTTTAGTTGAAACAAATCACTGGCAAAACTAAGTTTCAATTGTAGCACAAATCCTAAACATTTTTGAAATGTTTTTTAAATTTGAATAATTTAAACAAAAATATATTTTTCATAAAAATATTTAATTTGTTTTGTTTTATATGTTTGATATTTGAAAAAACAAATTTTGTAATTTATATCTAATATTATAATAAAAAATAATTATAAAATTTAAAATTATAAAAAAATGATATTTAAATCAAATATATTGATTACATTATTGTTTGTGTTGTTGATTATAAATTTTATTAAATGTAATGATAATGATAATAATAAAAATGAAAATATTAATCAAAAAATCAAACGAAATCGTATACGAAGTAATACATCCAATACAACAATACCGGCACTGTTTACACCCATAAGCATACGTGGCATAACTCTTCGGAACCGGATATGTGTCTCACCGATGACAATGTCGGCCTCGAAGGACGGTTTCGCCACTGACTTTCATTTGGGACATTTGCAGGGATTTGCTTTAGGCGGCGCCGGACTGGTCGTCATGGAGGCCACTGCTGTCTCACCGCAAGGACTGATCAGTCTCGAAGATAACGGTCTGTGGAGTGACGCCCACATCGAACCGTTGGCCAGAATTGTCAAACAAATCAAAGCGTACGGAGCAGTGGCTGCCATTCAGATCAATCATTCCGGTCGTAAGGGTAGCTGTCGTACGGGTTGGGATGGAGGCAACTCAATGGCAGATAGTGAAGGTGGTTGGCCAACAGTAGCACCCAGTGCTATACCGTACGATAAAGAGTCCATTTGGAAAGTACCGAAAGAAGCCACTGTTGATGATATCGACGAAATTACAAAACAATTTACAGCTGCAGCTAAACGGGCCGTTACGGCCGGGTTTGAGGTCAGCATATTTAAAAAAATAATTATATTATAATTAGTAAATATATTAATTGATATTTGTTTATGAATATAAAGGTAATTCAACTACATTTCGCACATGGATATATAGTTCATCAGTTTATGTCACCGCTGACCAACAAACGGACCGACAAATATGGCGGAAGTTTAGAAAATCGGATACGCTTTGGACTGGAAATAACCGAAAGTGTGGCTAAAGTCATACCCGATAATGTTGTGTTGGGTGCAAGGATTACAGTCACTGATCACGTAAAGGGTGGTTGGGATGTGCCATCAACTATAGAGTTTGCTAAGCAACTCAAACCTAAAGGTCTGGATTTTGTCGACTGTTCCGGTTATAGTGGACTCGTGCCGTGGGATCCGTCTATCAAAACTGATACCTATGCCGTCCAATTGGAAGCATCCGAGCGCATACAGAAAGAGGTGGGTTTGGTTACCAGTGTTATTGGCGGTGTATTCAGTCCCAAGTATGCCAACGAAATTGTGGCCAACGGTACGGCATCGATGGTGATGTTGGGCAGGGCTTTCCTAAACAACCCTCACTGGCCATATCATGCGGCAGACGCTTTGGGCGTACAAAAAGAAGACTTATTTCCCAAACATTACCGTTACGTCATATCAAACAAACGGTTTAGGGATTTAATTAAAAATAATTACGATTAATATCTTTTTATTTGAATAAATTTAAAGTTTCATTTTTATTACTTTTGATTGTCTAAATAAACTTAATAATTATAACTAAAAACAATTATAAAATTAACTATCATATCATTAATGTTATTTTATATTTGAATTATTTAATTAAAATAAAAATAAAGATAATATATTAAATATTTAAAAAAAATATTAATTCAATGATTTTATTTGCAAATTAATCAAAAGTATCAAAATTGTTGTGTATTGTTAGTTAACTAAAAAATAAACTATTAAAATTATTCATCATTAAAATAAAAGTTTTCATTTAATCACATTATTATAAAACTTTGAATATATTAAAATAATTTTTAAGTAATAAGTTTATAAAATTGTTATAATTAGAAAATTGTTCAAAAAAACAAACAAACAAATAAATACTGGATATTATTATTGAATAATTTGACATTTATAGTCACACTTGTCATCAGTAACACACTTTCCTTTATTGTTGAGATAATAATCAGGATTACATTGACAACCCTTTTCATTAGGTTTGCATTGAGTTGTACAGGCACCTGATGTACAACGGCTTCTACAGGTTGGTTGACAATGGGACAGACAGTCTATCCATATAGCGTTTGGATCAGGACAGGTAGGTGCTATTGATTGAAAAAATAATATCATATAAATTTTATTTTAAATTAAATTGAATATAAAATATCAATTATTATAATATATGTAGGATATTTTTCGGTATACTTTACATATATTATTGTTATAACTAATTTATTAACTTAAAAAGTAAATATAATAAAACAATTTAGTTAGTATTAATTGATTAAATTATTAACGATATTTAATAATAAAAATTTCTCGCTTAGTTTAACTTTTTATACATTACTTGAAAATAATTGTTGAATGAATACGATTGTTATACAAATGGCTATAATTAAAATTGATTTCATTTTTGTCTGTTTACAGTATATTTTGTATTATTCAATAAATGAAATATCAATTATTAATAATATATTTCAATCAATATTAAGTGTTTTTTATATACTGTTGTTAACATTAAGTTAGAAAAAAATAATATGATATATAGATATAWATTCATATAAAAAATGAATGTTCATTCTTATTAAGTAAACATTATTATTATTCAGTTATAGAAACAATTATATTTATATTAATAGTTAAATAAATATTTTAATAAAAATACAAAAATATATTATAAGTGATTAGCATTTTTTCAACAAACAGTATTTTATCTAATTTATTATTTTTTTTACAAATATTTACTAATATATTATATCAATTTTACTTTTTAATCAATTACTATGATATATAATAATATATTTGTATTTATTATAGAATAAGTAAATAGTCGTAACAAATAAGTAAAGTATAAACTAAACAATTAAAATTAGTTTATAAATATTTTAATTCAAAATAAAATTATAATAAAAATAATTACATAATTTATTATTATCGATAATATTACACGTTTTCTGTTTTTAACAATTAGTTTTACAATTTTTTACACATTTTTTCTGTGTTTTACTGTATATAAAGCCAGTAATGCACTGACACTTTGGTATACAAACATCGGCACAACGTTTGACACGACGTCGACACTTGTCCTCACAGTTCGGAGCACACGGAGACCCACAGTCGGTCCACAAGAAGTTGGGATCAATTAAACTGCAATTATTTATTGCTATTAAATAATTATAATAAAAATATTAAAAATATATAAAAGAATTAAAAGATATTATTTTAATATTACAATACATTGAGTTTGTTGTATAAAAATAATTGTTATAAAAACAGATAATACTAATATTGAACGCATTTTAATACTACTTATTATAAGAATTAATAAAATAATATTAATATTTTCAAATTATATATAAAATAAAGTGATTTTATTGAAATTATATAATGTATACAATATATAGTGTTGGCAAAAAAGAGAAATTTATAAAATAATAGAGAAATTTCTAGAAAGTTTCTAAAAGAAATTTCTATTTATGGGATCCCCATGGTTAATTTTGTTTCCTCGATATTTGTTATCTTTAACATTGTTTTTATAAGTAATATTTAAATATTATTATTAGTATTTTAATTATTAATTAAAGTAAAAAATTAATTTATTTAATTATATTAAACTATGGTATAATAAAATGGTGGTTAGATGGTGGTATTAAAATAGATGGTGGATAGATATTTCTATAGAAATTTATTACTGAGAGACTTTCTAGAAACTTTCTCAGGGAAATTTATTAGAAACTTTCTATTTGCCCATCTCTAACAATATATGATAAACTAGATATTAAAAATGAAAGTCATAACTATTATAAACATTTGCTAATAAATGTTGAATATTTCTAAACATTGTTTTTATTAGTAATTTATATTTTTAAAAATAACCTTAAATGTACCTTTAAAATTTAATATTATTCACTATACTATAGTTAATTTTAAAGTAGTAAATAACTTTATATTTAAAAATAATATTTTTAACAGTATGAATTTCATTTAATAATTAATATCAATATTACAAATACATTATATTTATTAAAAAAAATAGAAAGTAACAATTATTAAAATGAATCAACAACAATTAATAAAAAATAAAACAATTTTTTAATATAATATATATTTTATTACACAATTATATATTATAAATAATTAATTATAAATATATATACAGTACTTAATAAAAAATAATTGATCATAAATTTATAATATTGATTAACATTTTTAAAAAATGACATAATGTTTATGGATTGACATTTTGTTATCAATATTTATGGATCAGTTGTACAATTAGCAGGTGTCACACACTTTCGCTTTATTTCACTGAAGACATAACCACTAATACACTGACATTTGGGCACACAGTCGGCCGTACAGAATCTGGTCGGTCGGCACTTGTCCTCACACGCCGGTGGGCATCGGGAGCCACAGGTTGTCCACTGAAGATTAGGATCCAAACCACAACCAACACCTGTATGGTCTGAATGTATTGCTGTTTGTATAATAAAATTTTGTTAATTTAATAAATTATTTTTATAGACCTTTAATTTATCTCTAAATAATAAATCTATTTATTAAACCTTATTATAAATTTTTATTTGCAAATTACAAAATTATTTTTTGTAAAATAAATAAATTAAAGTATTTATTAAAGTTTTGTTTAAAAGTATTAATTAAAAAGTATTAGTTATTAGAAAATTTGTAAAATAATGATAAATTAATTTGTAAAATACAAAACCCTTACATTCAACTGTCGATTGAAACAACATAATTGTCACCAAAATTGTTATACAAATTAAATTTTTCATCTTTTACTATATAGTAATTAATGTAAAATAATTACAGTATTAGTTACAACAAAAATTAGTATTTTTATTTATTTAATAATATTTTTTGAATTCATTTAATTTATATAGTAGTTTTATAATCAAAGTTTTGATCAAAAATATACAATTTTCGCTGTTTTTGAAAATATTTTTATTAATACTGATAACAAATAGATACAATATCTATTTATATAAATATATATTTTTAAAAATATTTTTTTCAAGATAATAAAAATAGATAATTTTGTCCATGGTCATAATATACACACAGTGTTATACTAGACAAACAATTATACAATAGCTAATGATAATACTCAATCTAAAAATATTTATTAGTATAAAATGCAAAAATATAATATTTATTGCTTTTAAATAATTTTTTTATAAACATAAATTAGATATAAAATTATAAATGGTATAAATATATATTTAGATAGAGTTATAGTTTTAAATATATGCTGCAAATAAATAAACTGTATAAACAAATCCTTATTTTTAACCTTGTTAATATACTGTATAGTAAAAACATTTCTATAACTAAACAATACTATAATATAACTTTTCATAGAAATGTATATATGATACTACTATAACTTCCAACTAAATACTAAACTATAAATTTAACAAATAAAAATGATAAATTAATATTTTTTCATAAAATATTATTTAAATATATAATTATTTATTTTGAATCATATAAATTATTTCTGTGTCTTATTGAACAAGTAATTCAATAACAATTTGATTCATAAACATCGGACAAATTATTTGTTTAMTTAAATTAAAATATAAATAATTTATATTTTAAAATAAGATTATTGTATTTTCTATAAATTAATTATTTTCAAAGTATCTAATATAGAAAGAAATTAATAAATAAAATTTATTTGAATTAAAATCCATAAGATGTCATTAAAATATCAATATTTGATTTATAAATTATAATACTATTGTTTAGATTATTGTGTTTAAACTGAACATTGATTTTTTCACTGGTCTTTAGTAACACATTTGCCACTATAACCGATAAGATACCCGGGTGTACACTGACAACCCTAAGGTCTAAAACCAATTGGGAACCAACAGTCTATGGGAATACATATGTTTTAACAACTCAGCGCACAATTAGACCTACAGGTTCTCCAAACAGCGTTAGGATCCGGACAAGTGGTTGCTATGAATGGCATTTAATAACAAATTATACTAAATTATATGTTATTCATTGATTTATATATATATATGTCTAAAAAATAACAAATCAAATAAAATTTTTAAAAAGTTAGTAATAAATGATTTACTTTGAAATGTTTGATAAATGCATATTGTTTTACAAATTGTGATAATTAAAACAGATTTCATTTTATTATTTTTTTAATCTACTATATATTTAATTGTAATAAATACATAATTTTCAGCTCTTTTTATACATTAATATATACACTATTTTAAAAACAATTTACTATGTCTTTCGACTTTTAGATTACATTTTCCTAATTAAAAGTTCATTTTAAGTATTACTTAATTAAATATAAAATGTGAAAAATATATTGCAAAACAAAAAAATAATTTTTATAAGAATAAATAAACATTAACTTTGTAGTGATTTTATAATAAAATATATAGATTATATATTAAATATACAATTTATTTTAAGAATATTTTTAATGTATTTAATAAATGTATTACAACTTTATTTTTTAAATTTTTATATAATTTTTACTAATAATATACAAAAACATTAGATTTTTGATTAAGAAAATTAATAATTAACATGATTAAAATAAACTATAATACAATTTTATTTWTAAAATGACATTTTTATATTTTTACATATTATATTTTATTATATATCTATATAAAGAGTAAATATATGGTAAAAATTATTAATTGCAATAAAAAATAACATTTAG